GGATGCCCCGCCCCCCGCGGTACCTGCATGGTGTCCTCGAAGCCGCCCCAGTCCGCGGCCGCCCCGCCCCTGCCGCCCCCCGCTGGGGGGGCGCCGGCTCCCGACATCCTGCCGCCTGGCCGCGCCGCGCTACTGGGGTCTCCCGACAGCTGCAGCCAAACAGCTCGGGCAGCGGATGTGACGCACACCCTGCCTGGGACGTGGAAGCTGGGCTTCCCTCTCGCGAGAGTTCCCCTTAGGTGCTATCGTGGTGGTGGCGGAAGCGTAAAACAAAACAAAACACCTCAAGCAAATAAAAGAGAAACGCAAATTGAGACCCGGCAGCCAAAGGAGACGTCCTCCGTGAGTCATAACAGCTCTGGAATCAAGGCAAGAGACGTGCCATAGAAATAGTACCTAAAACCGTCCTCTCTTAGGAGCTGCCACGCACAGCATGGCGGAGCAGCACATCAGACTCTTAGTGCGCCTGCGCAGGGAGGGCACAAACACCGGGAGGTCTTGTACACAACGCGCCCACCTAGCGTCACGTGACGGGCAGGAGTTGCGTGCTTGCGTCACGTGGGCAAGATGGCGGAGCCCGGCAGCGTGGAGGAGATGCGGAGCCGCGTGGTGCTTGGCGAGTTCGGCGTCCGCCACGTGAGGGGGGAGAGGTGCGGGGGCCACGGCCGGAGGGGGCTCGGATTCACGCGTGTCCCCCCGTGACCCACGCGTGTCTTCTGCCCGCCTCGCAGGTGCACACCACGGACTTCCCCGGCAGCTACCCGGGCTACACCGACGCTTGGGACCCGGTCACTTTCCGCCAGGTGAGCAGGGGGGTGGGGGCAGAAGGGGCGGAGCGGAGCGGGTGTTCTATCCCCGGCCCTTCCGAGCTCCTGCGGATGGCAGCGGGGCACCCTATTGACCCCGCGGTGTCCCGTTCCCCCCGCCCTGGCGGGCTGCAGGGTTTCCACGTAGACGTGACCCACATGGACGAGGGGCTGCTGGAGTTCGATCTGGTGGGCATTGATGCTGCCATTGCCAATGCCTTCCGCCGCATCCTGCTGGCCGAGGTAGGGCTTGTGCTGGGCTCCACTCAGGGTCGGACCGAGCACCAGGTTTGGGGTCAGGAGGGATTTTGCTGCGTGGCGAGATTAGTTTGGGCTGTGGGGGGATTTGCCTTGCTCTGTAGCATGGGTGCAGGCCTCTGCCCAGGACTGCTCAATATTTTGAAGAAGCAGGATGGTGGCTCTCGTGGGTCCTTGGCTTGACCTGTAGCAGGTTGGGGTGTCGGGTCTATGCTGTGTCAGGGTTGCAGTCAGTCAGGTGTAGCGGTTGTGGTTCTTGTGAGATGGTGTGGACAAAAACAATCCTGCCTCAGGCAGGGGCT